TATGGTCCAATTAAACCTTTACTAGTCGATGTTTCATAAGTTTTAATAAAAATATGTATCTATGCCTCTATGGTTTATACTTTTATTTACGTTATTTTTTTTTTTAAAATATGCATATTTATTTAATAAAAAAAATCTATCGAATCGTAGTTATGTCTAATAACAGTTTTACTATTACAATCAGATATATTTTTATGAATAAAAATACATGCTTTAACATTATAGGATCATATCTTTCTATCAAAATAACTACTCAACCATGCACATTTAAAAAAAGTATGTATTTTGGTTACAAAAATATTATAATCATCTATAAAATTAAATCCCTAAGAACTAATTTTGAAACAAATTGGAAGTATAAATGCACCTAACAAAGTTCTGTACCCAATTCTTGCGTCAGAAAATGGAGCAGCGAAGGCGCACGTGTGAACGTGAAAGTTTGGAGAGCTTTTGTGAAGATGAACCGTCGTTTTCACGATATTGACATCACTCTTAATTTTCAGAAGGTTTATGTTTTAATTTTTAATACTTAGTACTATTAGATAAATATTAAATAAATAACCAGAAAAATAAAAAATAAAAAAAAAGTTTGACGGGTAAGTAAACTTTGTTGTCGTGACTCGGGAAAAGGCATCTTAGCCCATTCTTATGGGTCGGTGCACGCCCACATTTTCCTTTTATTTTGCAAGGAAAATGGTCCTATAGTTAAGATTTGAAAAGTACATAATCAACGCTTTTTCAAATCTCAGCAAATATTATAAATTAATATAATAAATATCTGTATTAAATGAGTTAAATATCTCATCACTTTTTTAAAATCTTTTAAAATCTCAATTAAATACTTCAAAACTTATAAAATTCTTATAAAATCGAACTTAAATAGTAAATACATCAATACTTTTGAATTCTTAAAAAATTATTAGAAATCATAATCGAATACACCTTAAACTTTTGTAAAGTTATAGGGGAAAAATAAATGAATAAAATAAGTTGACAATTAGATATTTTTGTTCAAAAATCATATAATAAATTATAAAGGCCCATAACCTTTGGGGGGCATAATCATGTGACAAGAGGAGGTGTAGGATCATCTCAAGTTGGAACTAAATAAAAAAGGCCTGCTTTAATTTTAAAGTTGGGCACATCATTGCTAATGAAGAGACACATAAAGAATATTATAAATAAAATAAAGAAATTAAAATATAAAATAAAAGAACCAAAAAAGAAAAAAAGTTGTCAGGTATGGAACACCGTTGTGTAAGTAATGAAAATTTATATGTGTTTTAAATTATTATATCAACTCTTTTTTTTTTTTTTNATAGAATAATATCAACTCAAATAATGGTATATATATACTTTCAAATATTAAGTTTATTTTACTTTATTTTCACTTTATGAATATAAGGTTATGAAGTTAAGAGGGACAATCTACTGTGGAGGGTGCAAAAAAATAATTTTGTTGATCGAATTTGATTGGATGATATTAAGTCTAGATAAGGAAATGATCCATTCAAGAAAGATAGGCCACCATATAGTAAAGGATGCTTGTTGGGATTTTTGTGCCCACCAAAATTTTTAGCTACTTATTTGATATTTTAACATCCAAGCAAATTAAATTTAATAATAATATATAAATAGATAAATAAATATGGATATAATTGAATGATATGCAATATTGAATATACTTTGTTCTGCTCTAGTGGTCCATTATCCTCTCTGTTTCTAGTTTTATATCATAGTGTCAATTAATAATTTTGGGAGTTTTTTTAATCCATTTTAAATTTAATTACTAATTACTAATTAAAAGTAAATTTTAAAATATGCAGTTAACATAGGGATCAAAGTAGTTATATTTAATTCCTGTTCATATGGTACCTAAGTAGTCTAAGTTCTAAAAAATAAATCAAATTATAAATCAGGTAACCGTAGAAGTGTTGCATATTTTTAAAATAAGATAAAATAAATTCAATCAATTTTCCTAAATGATGTAAAATTCAACAACAAAAAATATAGATACTTTCATGTTCAATAAAAGAGTAGAGACTTTATTAAACAAAAGGAGAAGTGAAACAATTAAAAATAATAATATACATATTTTCTCACTCATGTAATTAATAGTATTCCATACTCACATATGAACTAATAAAAGCATTTTTACCATTATAGTAATTTATATTTATTTTTATATGATACATACATCATAATACCACCTTGGCCCACACATTAATTTGAGCAACATAACAAACACAATATATATTAGTCACTCACATATCATAGAAATAGTTTTATCCAAATTAATATTATGTAATAGTGGTATAATAAGTTCATTTTATCTTCTGTAAAATCATTTTTATTCTGACTATTACTGTTAAATTAAATGAGTCTGGCTTGAGCTCGGCTCATTAAGGCTCGAGTTCGGCTCGGAAAGAGAATTTTTAAATAATTTTCATTAGTTTGGCTCGTTAAAGTTTGAGATTGGCTCGTTAATAATGATAACTAGATGAGCCCAAACTCAATTTCTGAATCGTTTATTTAATGAGCCGAGCTCTAACTCGAGTACGCTATGTTCGAACTCGGCTCGGCTATGCTCGTTTACTGGCTTAAATAATTAATTAAAAAATATGTTAACAATTTAAATAAGCATAACATAAATCTTATTAGAGAGACACGCGTCACATACCTTGAGCTGAGCCAACGCCGTAGGTGTCTCCGTCAGATACTTAACGGCGAGCGTCATGATAGTTGATGTGGTTTCATAACCGGCCACCAGCAGAGCCACCATGAAATCCACAATCTCCTCGTCGGAAAAGCCACCTCCGCCGCCGTCCTCGTCTAGCAGCGCCGCCAGCATGTCATTCTTTCTCTCTCCTCTCTCACTCTCTCTCCTCCTTTCCCGAACCACCAGGCTCAGCGCCTCCGCCACCTTTGTCCGAGCCTAACAATAAAAAAAATAAAAATACTGAATTACATAAATATTAATTATAATAATAATATAATACTTTTTAATAAGATATAATTCATTTTTTCTTTTCCTTTTTTTTTTTGCTTACA